GCAGGGCCCACTCATTCCAGAGCCTCCGCTGCCCGCCCTGGGAAAGGAGCCATGGCACGGGTGGTCCAGGGCTGGCTCGAAGCCAGTTAGGAAACTGTCTCAGCATACCCTCAGATGCAAGCCCTGGGAATGCCAGGCTGAGGACAGCAGGCGAAGCCGAGGTTGTCCTGGGATCGGAGTGAGGGTGACAACAGACGTCAGAGCACAAGTCGCGCTGGAGAAAGTGCACCCGCAGGGACCAAGGTCTGGTGATCTCAAAGGCAGGAGTTGCGAGACGCTGGGGGTGGGGGAGGAGCAAGGGGTCCTGTCCAGCTGAGTCGTGTGACATGGGGACGGGATGACCTCGTGATCACCTGAGTCCCTGTGCCCAGTTTCTAAAAATTTATCTACAGCTGTCTCTCTCCATCATCTCTCCATCTCTCTCCATCTCTCTCCATCTCTCATCTGTAATCTATGTATCTGTCTCTATCTATATCATCTATCTATCTGTATTTATCTTATCTATCTTCTACTATCTACGTATCTATGTATCTATGTATCTATCTACATCCATCCATCCACCTACATCTATCTGTATCTATCGATATCTATCTGTCTACCTATCTCTATCTATCTATCTATCTATCTATCTATCTATCATCTATCATTTACCAGAGGATGCATGCGCCCACTGGAGAGATACAGAGACAATGAGAGAAAGAGTGAGAAAGCACCACCCCCATGGGAGATAGGCGTGCTGAAATCCCTTCTCCATTTTCCTTTCAAGATTTTGGGCGCACACCTACACACACCCAGTGTGTTTCTCAGACTGCCACGTCAGGGACTTGAACTGTGCAGTCGGCCATGTGGGATCCAGCCGCCTTAATCATGATGCCACAGGCTGGCCCCTTGGGCGTAATCTAATAGGCGGGGAGTCTGGAAGACACACGAGGACTGTATTTGGGCAGTAAGGATGTCGTAAAGCAAGAAGTCCTGGGAGTCCAGGTATCCCCAGAGCTGTTTCAGGTGCGTACCCCTCAGAAAGCCGGGTTTTCCTTCTAGCACCAACCCAGGTAGACTGGACTCTCCCGTTTTAAGAAAAACTGGTTTATTTTGTAATCTTTCCATTTCCTCCCATTTTCAGTTTAACAATGGTCCATTAGGGCCTAAAGCAGGAGCTTAGTCCAAAATAATGGCTTCCTATAGTTACCGTTCGTTTTTTAAAACATTTTTAAAAATTTTCTATAGGACATGTACACATGCCAGAGAGAGAGACAGAGAGACAGAGATTAAGTGAGAAAAGCACCCCCTCCCCAGGGGATTGACTACGCTACATTCCCTTCTGCTCTGTTCTCCTCTTCAGAGTTTGGGCTTACTCACTCTCTCTCTCTCTCTCTCTCTCTCTGTCTCTCTCAGCGTGTTTTTTTAAGCCACCAGGTCCAGGACTCGAACCCTGGAGTTGGCCATGTGGGACCTATCTGCCTTAAACACATGGCACTGGCTGGTCCCATAGTTTTACTTAACACAGTAAATCACAAATCAGTTAATTTACTTTTTCCAAGAGAATCATTGAATAATAATTTAAAAATTGTAAATACCCAAGGGATGGGCCAGCTTCATGGCTAGTGGTTAAGGGCGCCTGACCTCATAACCAGGGTGGGGAAAGGAGGAGGGGATTGGGGCCCCCACTGAGGGTACTTTCCGCTCTCTCTGGTGAGTGTACACACCTTCTGGTAATGAAATAAACACTAAGGCCTTTGGTGGGCAGCTGGAGGCCTAGGGCACCCTGGGGCGTCAGGCAGCAAACTGGGCAGGAGCTGGAAGACCCCCTTCCCTCTGACGTCCCCGAGCGTAGGCCTGGACGGGTGTGCTGCCCCGGTAGGGAACCAAGAGACGAGGCAGGGCCTGCGGCAGCTCCCAAACCAGCTCTTGCATGGTAAATTAAAATAGCCCAGCCCAGGCCTGCTGCGGCCAGGCGCTTACTGTGGCATCTGCTCGCCCGTCTGGCAGCGGCCGTTGATGGAGCCGAGCCTCCTGGTCTTTGCCACCTACGGATGTTGGGCCTGTGGGTTTCCCTCCCTGCCCTCACTTCCTGCCCGCTGCTGCCAGGGCTGCTCAGCTGCCTGTCCACAGCTGTGACTGCAGGTTACGGGTCCTTGGGGACCTGCAGGGCCAGAGCACAGGGAGCCGGAGTCCGCCATGGAAACTGCCCCCCAGCCCGGGAGCCCCCTAGGACAGGAGGCCTTTGCAGAAACAGCCTGTCCAAAAGCGAGTCACTCCATCTCTGGCCTTGGACCAGCTCCTCCTTGCGATCTTTTCCATGTGAAATATAAAACACATAAAAGGGCGCAACGATAGGGGTACAGCCTAATGCATCGTTTTCCAGCAAATTCTGCTCACATCGAGAGAGAAAGTGCAGCCAGGCCTGCAGAGGGCCCCCACCCCTGCGGGCCATCCTCGGAGGCCCCTTTCCTGGCCTTGTGTGGCCAGCACTGCCTTGCCGCAGTTTTGGGTGCTGGTCCACTGCCTAGGTGGAACGCTTCTAAACAGAACTGCGTGCTCTGGCCCGTGTGGGGGCTTGGTATGTGTGAGATCATGGTCCGTGTGTGCTTGGGAGGCTCAGCTGGGCCTCGGTCAGCTGCCGTGGTGCGCTTCACTGCTTGGGGACGCCTCGTGTGAGCACCCACGATTTACACGCTCAGACATGGCCTGCGGACATGGAGGCTTTGCGAGCACTGATAAAGCTGCAGGAGACTCCGCGGACGTCCTGAGGTGCCCGGCACCCACATTCCAGATACCTGGGCGTGGACTTTCTGGCCCCCAGGGGTATGAGTGGGTTCCGTTCCTGAAGATAATTCCAGGTGTTCTCCAGGATGGTTGAAGTTGTGCACGCTCCACGGGCAGGTCGGGGGCTCCGGCTGCTCCCCGCTCAGCAGCACGTGGCACGGCCGGCCTTTCTCGTTCTGCCACCCCAAAAGGGAGTCGTGCTCTTTCCCCCAGGGGCTTAATTTCCGCTTGCCGGATTTCCCTGAGGTCAGGTGCATGGTCTCCCGGGGCCACCTGAGATCCGCCATCCCAGTTTTAACAAGGAGAAGAAAACCACTCAGCGTATCAGGTGGGTGGCTCAGTGTGGATTGGACACGGATGTCCATACCGGAGCTTGGGCCCTGCTGTTACCCACGTGACCTGAGCCACAATGTGGAGGACGCGAGTCAGAGACGAGCCCCTGAGCCGTTATGTACCACCCCGAGGCTAACTTTGGTAGGCACTTGCGTACCTTCTTAATGCTTTGGTTCTTGTGTGTGTTCGTTTTTACAATGAAATTCCTTTCTCTCACTGGCGTATGAGAGTGAGAGCGTAAGAGACGAGCACTCCCAATGGCGTCACACCGCGGTCCCCTCCCCAGCCTGCCCAGCCAGCCAGGGTCACAGGTCAACTGGGGTCACGAACCTGCCGTCTTCCCACCGCGTCACTTGAGTGCGCAGCTCTGGGCCCCACCGTCACCCTGGCACAGCTCCTGCTGCTAACAACACCCCGTGGGCCAGCCATGTCCACAAGTGAGCAAGGCAGGTGGACAGAGGCTGGCACTCACTAGCTCCTCTGCAGACCGAGCTCTCCCTCCCTGTGAAAGCACCCCTACTGTGCGTGGAGCTGTCTCAGTGCCCTTGGCTCAGCAGTAACCAAGTGCTGGCTTTGATTAGCTGGGGCACTGCGATCTGCGGGTCTGGGAGGAAGGGGCCCTTTCTCTCCGGCAGTCCGTGCGCTCCTCCCTTCCGGCCACTCTGCGCTGCGGGGTGTAGAGGAGCCCTTCCGCGGCCAGCATCCAGGCACGGTGATCCTCCAGGTTCCAACCTTCCACGCCATAGTTCGGCAGACTCACCTCCTGAGGGGCGTCTGCATGGCGGGGCAGAGGAGAGCACAGCCAGGCCCAGCTCCGAAGCCCCCGCAGCCCTGGTCTAGTGCCTCCCTGCCCCCCGCCCTCGGGCAGTGGAGGAGAGCCATTAGAAATTTCGCCATAGCCGCCATCCCCTGGCGCTGGGCACGGGTGTGGTCTCAGCTGTCGAGCTCGGTGCATTTGGGCGCATTACTCAGCATTTTGGACCTCCCCTTCCTCATTCTAGAAAATGCAGAGGCCAGAGAGGCTTCCTGGGCCTTCCTGACTCACCCTTTCTTGAATCTCATGATCTGGAGGGCTGGAGCAGCTGGGGGAGACAGGCTGGGCGGTACTAGGAAGCACTGAGGGTGCACTACCTCATGCCTGTTCAGCCCCACATGGCCTCTGCCCTCCCAGCTCCTGCAGGTCTTCCCGGGGCACCCCGCCCTGCCCTGCCCGGTGAGCAGCCCCCCACCCCCATTGCAGCCTGTGCTCTTCTGCTCTTTGGCAGACCCTAGGTCATGGTTGAGCAGGACGTGGGGCAGGGACAGCACTGAAGGTGGCCATGGTGACAGCACAGTGGAGCCTCTGGGACCGGTCAGCACCGTCCAGCACAGCTCTAATTTCCCTGCTGTCCCTCACCCATAGCCAGCGTCATTTTCTCCCATCTGACAGTGTCATCATTGGAATGTTTTCAATCCCAGGCCCTCCAGCCTCCCTGCAGTGAGGAGAGAGGGTAAGGGTGAGGGAGGCCTGGGGAGTGGGCGCATTCATGTCCCAGACACCCCCACCCCCACCCTCAGCTCCATGGTGGAGCTCCACCACCTGTCACTGACCCAGCTCAGACCCTGGCAAAGGAAGCAGGTGAGTCCAAATGGTTCCACAGGCTTCCGGGACCATGGGCTCCCTCATGCCAGGTGTCCTGAGGCCCTGGCCCCGCTGGATCCTGGCCGGGAACCACCCATGTTCGTGTCTCCTGTCGCGAGCTCCCAGGTGCCGTCCCTGAGCTCTGGGATCCGTGAGCTGGGCTCCTCACGCGTGCGTGGTTTGGAGAGCGTGTGTGGACCGCTCTGCCAGCATGCATCTCCCCAGGCTCCCCCTCGGGGCTGGCAGCCTGGGAGTGATGTGGCCATGTCCCCTCTTCCAGGATCAGAGCCAGAGACAACAACGGGTCCTACGCCCTGTGCCTGCTGCATGAAGGGAAGGTGCTGCACTACCGTATCGACAGGGACAAGACGGGCAAGCTGTCCATCCCCGAGGGGAAGAAGTTCGACACGCTCTGGCAGGTACACGCCGCCCCGCTCCCTCGGCGGGCATGGGCGTTCGCGCTCCTCTTCCTGGAAGCTCAGCAAGCAGACGACCCTGTGCCCTCTGTGCCGCCCACGTGTGGTCCCCAGACCAGGGGCAGCCCTGAGCACGTTAGCAATGCACACCTGGGCCCTGCCCCCCCTGTTTCCCACCCCAGGTGGCCAGTCCAGGGACCTGACTGTGAGGTGAACGGGGCTCTGGAGGTTTCCGAACCTTGCCTAGGGCCCTCAGCTCTCAGCGCCCCGAGGCGGTGTCTGCTCAGGGCTGTGTTCGGAGTCTAACAGGAGGCCCTGTTTGCAGGACCAGAGCCCAGAGCAGCCTTTCCGACAGACCCGCAGCATAAAGGTGTGGACAGGCCGGCTAACCAGATGCGAGCTGGCGTCCGAGGTGCCGGGGGCGGGGGGTGGGGGGTTAGACGTGCCTTTCCAACAGACCCACAGCATATAGTCGTGGACAGCTAACCAGACGCGAGCTGGCGTCCGAGGTGCCGGGGTGTTAGACATCGCTGCCCCTCCCAAGGGGCATTTCCTCCCTGTGGAAGTTAGGGTAGCGCCGGAGGAGGCTCACTTCCCAGGGTCCAGGCTGCCACCCTCTCGGGCCTGCTGCAGCCCTGGTCTTGAAAGGGCTTCCTCTTGGCCCAGCCGGGATGAGCCGACGCGGCTCCCAGCGAGGCTGGGGCTGTCTGTTTGCTGACAGCACCAGGTGACACCCTCCCTCCATCTGGAGGGCCACAGGCTGTCCACCGTAGTTTAAACCGTGGCCTCGCTAGCCCCCGGTAGGCCCCCAGTGACAGGACTTGGTGCCATTTCGGCAGGATATCCTGTACTGCAGTGGGTGCAGACACGGAGAACCGGCCGACTGCCCCCGAGAGCAAGGGATGCCCTGATCTCGGGTGAGGGGCGTAGTCAGGGTGTTCCAGTGCCCCACCCAGGCCCGGCCTGGAGCCACAGGGTAGTGGCTGTCATGAAAGGGCTCAACTTAGGTCCTTACTTTAAAAAGCTGTCTTCTTTCTTTTCATATGAGAGAGCAAGCGAGCGAGACTACCGATGGGCGGGCGAACCTGCAGCTCCCGCAGGGCCGTGGGCACGTCTGCCGTGCACACGCGTGTTCAACCTCCCAGTCCAGGGTCCGGCCTTCCCGCCTGGCCTCCTGCTGCCATCGCCACTGTGGCTGGGCCACCAGCTCCCGTCTCTTTGAAAACTGATTTCCTTTATTTTTTTTAAGATATGCGATTATTATTTAGCTTTATTTATGTATTTGTTTTGACCAGAGAGGGACAGAGTGAGAGAGGGAAAAGTGAGAAAGCAGGGCGCCAGGGCCGGGGCTCCAGGGCTCCTAAGCACTGTGCTGCCTGCCCCAAGCCTTTCCGTTAAAGCCCCGGTGGGACTTGTTCCCGCTGCTGGCATCGCTAAACAAACAGCTCCTCTTTTGGGCGCCGGGTGCGAGCGGGCTCCTGCTGACTCACCTCGTGGACTCGGAGCGTGTGCGTGTCGCCGCCCACAGGCTCTCCTGCTCTCAGGGGTGTCTGACCCTCTGTCCCTAGTGCCCAGTGCTTGCGGGGTCACTAGGGAGTCTGCGCTCTGCCTCTAGTTCTCTGTCAAAGTCCTTTGTTCCCTACAAGTCCTTGATTGGTAGTGTGCATTTACTCATTTATTTAAGATCGTTGCCTTAGGGACCAGCAGTTAGTGTAATGGCTATGTCTCTGAACTCCATGTATCCGACCGTGGTTCGAGTCCCAGACCCGGTGGCTTAAACTCACACCGGGCGTGTGTATGTGCGTGCCCAAGATCCCGAGAGGAGAATGGAGGAGAAGGGATTGCGGCATTGCCATCTCCCTGGGGGGTGATTTCTCGCTTTCTGTTTTTCTGTCTCTGTCTGTCTAGTGAACGCATGCGCCCTATAGCAAAAGCCTCTAAAAAAAAAGATTGTTGCCATAGGGAACATGCACTTGCCAAAGAGGCAGAGAGACGGAGATAGAGAAAATGACAAATCACCCTCCAGGGGGGGCAGGGGCAGCCATGCCACAATCCCTTCTCCTCCTCTCTCTTCCTGGAATTTTGGGCATCCGTGTACACTTTGCCTGGCCCAGGACTTGAACCTCCGTCGGCCATGTGGGAGTCCAGCACCCTAACCACCAGCCCGTCTGCTGGTCCCAGTAGTGTGCATTTGAAGGCATGTGCCGTCCTGCAGGCCAGCGCGGCATGCAGAGTCCCAGTCTCCATCGTCTGTAAGTAGCCGTGCGTCCCGTTCCTCCGGATCACTGCCTTAATTGACCCCGCAGGTATATGGGAGCATGCGGCCCTGACGACACCCTTCCCGTGGCTTTTCTCC